TATTATTCCGTTGGGTTCCGAGTGGAACACAGAGCGTCGACAACACATCTCCGCTTAGCTCTATTTTGTGCCATCCTCTTCTTTGTTCAGTACCCATCTTTTTTAGCTGGGTCCACGATTGCCAATAATCTCTCATACCCTCGCTGAAGCCGTATGTTCCACTCAAATGCAAAAAAAGAAAAGTAGTAATAATAATGAGACCACATACTCCAACACTACTGTTGAAGGAATAAAATCTACCCAACTATCAATGCAACAGATAAAGCATTTGTTCCATAGCATTCCATTGAGAGAAAAAAAGAGGAAGACTTAGAAAAGTAGGTGGAGATTTATTCAGAAACAAAATAACAATTTAAGACAACAGCAATTTTGTATAAGTACATGATCATATACCAATTCGAAAATAAATTTTAAAAATATTATAGGGGGCTAAAAAGCATTTTGAAAAAAGGATGCGGGAGTTTACTCCTTATGAAAGACAAATGATGAAGTATTAGCTGCTTCACATCCATGTCGATACATTGTTAATTGATACAGTAATATACCAGCTGCCACGGCGACATTTAATGAAGACGGAATATTTTGTGATATTGATTTATTCACCAAGTTAGGCGTATCTGCAAGGCCTGGGACACGTAGTAATAAATCGCAGGCATTTAAGACATTTTCACTCAGACCTCTTGATTCACTACCTAAAGCTAAAACCATTGGTCTGGGCGAAATTCTAGTATTGTTATTACAGTCATTAACTCCTACCTAGAAGAATAATGTGCATAAATAATTGTAAACAAACACGTAAAGACAGAAAAAAATTTTTATCATTAAAAGTGCTTTAAAGTAACTTCATACAACAGACTGACAGATAGTTCGGTAAACAAGACCATGGTTATATATAATGTTGCCTCCCGACTGGTGAAGAGATACTTTTAGAACCCCACAAAAGTGAATCAGTTCATTTAGCGACATGTCATAGTGACACGGTCCATAATTTAGTAATAGTGATTTGAAAACTGGACGTTATGGGTAGAAACGGTTAGGGACAATAACTTACGCTACCTAAGAATTTCTTCTACTATATGAATGTATCACGGATTTCTTATGGGGAGAGAAAAAATACTTAGGACGATATAAGATTCCAAACCAGGAAATTTATGCAAGGATTACAATTGAAACGCACAATACGCAGATTGATGCTAGAATCATTTTTAGTCAACTGAATAGTCACAGCGTACAAATTTTTATTGCAAATATATCACAGTGACAGTATTATTTACTGAATGACGCCCAGAAGCAATTTACGGTTCATGATCATTTCAGTTACACAACTTCAAAACTCGACTTTTATTATTCCCAGTCTTTTTTCCCCAATTGCCACAAGGGTAGAGATATTTTCTAGGTATCTGTCACGCGTGTTGAATCATTTCTACTTCTCGTGTTCTCAGTTGATTATACAAGTAAAGCTTCACTCATAAGTACTTTCATTTATCCTGTTATATTAGATTTCAGGACTGTGACTTTTTCCCATACTAAGTGTAAGTGTATGCAGTGTAATAGCTGCGCTTTTTTCAAGATACCTTATCTTAATAGGGCTTACTACTCTAGATTTCGCTAGGATTTTGCGCTCCGCTAATAAGATGTATCCTGGCCTATTGCCATGAATCCACAATCATTGTATTGTGAGATGAACTAAGTTACTGTGCAATAGGCTCCTGTGAAGCTCAAATGTAACTCAGCGACTGCTAGTTCCAAATTTATTAGTCAGAATATGTTGACACTTCTTAATTAGGCAAAATAACTGAGTCACATTGATACAATATTACACGCCAAATTATAAGCTCAACCTACCACTTAATACCACAAGTGAAAAAACTGATAAAACTACTATACTCAAATAATAGATGAACTAGTACCTCATTCGGTTGTAAGCAATTCAAGGGTTTGCTAATTGCATTTGGTGAAATTTGACTTTCTCCACAAGTGCCAACGACTAGAAATCCGGCATCTGACAAAGACTTCATATCCATTACGATATCAGTCAATCTGTAAAATAGCATACCTTCCATGGCACCAACACTAAGCTTGCTGATAAGTGGTGATGGAGTGACACATGGAGCAGTAGATAGTAACACAGCAGAGACGC